TGCCTTTATGGAAAAAATTCATAACAAAAGAGGTGCAATTCTTCTGCATGTTGAAACTAAAAACAATTTTTAAAATGCCTTTTCTTATTTTAATTGACCTAGCAGATAAGTTTATTTAAAATAGTGTTACAATATGTATTTTCTTATGTAAGCTTTAGCAGAGACCTCATGTATGCTATAGACATATAAGAAATGGGAGGAAGAAAATACGATTATTTAGTCATTATTAAGTGCTCACAATAACTAAGAAGCCAAGTAATGATATTTAAAATGGGCCCGAATTAGTTGTGAATACATATTGAAATTCTAGCCAATCACTAATTAGAGTATGTTAAAACATGATTTATGTGGTAAAAGAGAAAAATCAATAAGAAACAGTTGAAATCAACAACTCACTAATCAATGGTATATAATTGACATTAATAATTAGTTCATTATAAAACAGCAGAATAAACTATGCCCAAACCCGCACAGCACATTTACCAAACACAACACTGTACTAGGACAGAAGAGCACACCTTAACAGATTTACAACAACAGCAACCGTATAATATCCATGCTCAGATTTCATTCGAGTTAAACTATAAATCAGTAACAGAAAGAGCCAAAAGTTTGTCAGCTATGTGAGCACCACACAACACACCGGTAGAGGATACAAGAGTCAAAGAAATCTCCAGTGAAATTAAAAAATGTTTTGAATGATAATTCTGAAAATATCAACTATAAAAATGTACAGGAAGCAGCAAAAGCAGTTATGGGAGGAAAGCATAACACATTGAACACCTGCTTTGGAAAAGATGCAAGACCTAAAATCAGCCATCTCAGCTTGCACTTTAGAAAACTACAAAGGAACAAATCAAACACAAAGTAACCAGAAAAAAAAAAAAAATACAACAGAAATCAATGAAATGAGAACCAGGAAATCAATAAAGAAAATCCATGAAACTTAAGGTTAGATTTTTGCAAAGATTAATAAAGCTGATAAATCTCTAACCAGGCTAAGAAAAAAAGAGAGAAGACATGAATTACTAACATTTCAAATAAATGAAAAGGCTTCACTACCACTCCCAAAGAAAGCAAAAAGAAAATATAGGGAAACAATGAATGATTCTGTGCTTACAGATTTTATAGCCCAGATAAAAGGCAGAGTCCTTGGGAGACACGAGCTGCGGCAAATCATCTGAGAAGAAACCCAATCCAAATAGGGCCGTATCTTTAAACAAATTAATCATTAATTAATTATTCTGCAAAAGAGAAAGCACCAGGCCCAGATGGATGTATTATTGAATTCAATAAATGTTTAAGGAAAAAATGATGCCAAGTCTCAATGTAATAAAAAATCAAACAAAATCTAAAAGCATTCAGAACAATTAAACTACTGGGACCAATAAGCGACTAAGACAAGGTTTCAGAATCTACATTCAGAATACAAAAGTTGCTCATGGGGAGCTGGGGAGATGGCTTAGTAGAATAAGCATTTGCCTGGCAAGCACAAGAGCCTGAGTTCAACCCCCAGTTCTTAAAAAAAAAAAAAAAAGTTGCTCATCTTCCTGTATTCTGCTAAATAACAAATGGAATTTGAGTTAAAATCACAATATCATTTACATCTACAATGCAAACAATGAAATACTTAGGTATAAATCTAGCAGAATATAAGCAAGATCTGTGTACACATAGGAAACTACAAATCCATGTTGAAAGAAATCAGAGAATAACTAAATGGCAAGGTATTTCCTATTTGTGGATAGGAAAACTTAATCAGTAAAGATGTCACGGCTTAGTAATTTGATCTGTAATTCAATACAATCCTTAATTTCAAAAAAAAATGTGCAAGTCATTTTCCACATATGAACTAACTTATTCTAGGTTTCTATTGAGAAGCAAATGCCCCAGCATAACCTACACAATAAGGAAGGTGACTCAAGCTCGGTGACTAACTCTAAGGCATATGGGAAATCTGTAGGAATCAAGACAGTGTGCTACTGGTGAGAGAAAAGGCAGCTGTGTCAGTGGAATAGAACAGAGATCCAGAACTAGACTTACATAATCCTTGAGAAAGGAGCAAAAATAACAAGAGGCCCAAATTGTCCTTTCAACCAATGGCATGGAACATTTGGACCATATCCAAAAGAAAGTTCAACTAGCTGGATACAGGCCTTCACATCTGTCAAAAATGAAGTGAAAGGATCCTAACTTGACGAGTAAAGAAAAAAAAAATTAAAATTCCCACGTCATAAGACAAAATCCAGATAACCTTAAATATGGGCCTGACATTGTAGTTAAAACACCAAAATCACAATCCATTGAAGAAAGAATTGACATGCTGAAGTTCATGAAAATTCAAAAATTCTGCTCTCCAAAATACTCTGTCAAGGGAGTGAAGGGGCAAGTCACAGATTGGAGAAAATATCTGCACATAGCATATCAGAATTGTTCTTGAAAATACACAAAGAACTCCTAAAACCTCAACAGTAAGAAATGTAATATAATTTTTTTTAAGTGCCTCAAAGGTCTTAATGGACACTTCCCCAAAGATGATGTACACCTGGCAAAAAGCATCTGCCCTTCTCCACAGCTGTATCACCAAGGAGACGCAACTGCAAGCATCAGTCACTGCACAGCTGGGAGGATGGCCAGAAGCCAGCTCATGGTATCACCCATGAGGACGCAGATCCACAGGGAGGAACGCTCACTCAGTGTTCGTGGGACTGCAAACGCACCAGGCACTGTGGGAAACAGTTTGTTAGTGTCTATAAAATCAGTCATGCTGTTACTGAACATTCCAGCAATCTTGTTTTTGGTATTTATCCAAAATAGTTGAAAACTTAAGTCTACACACACAAAAAAACCTGCATATGATGGTTTCTAGCAACTTTATTCATAATTGTCAAAACCTGAAAACAAGATGTCATTTAGTAACCAAATGAATAAATAAACTGTGATGCTTCCAGAAATGAAACATTATTCAGCATTAAGCAGAAATGAGCTATCAAGCAATGAAAAGACATTGAGGAAATTGGAGTGTTTATTACTAAGGGAAAAAGCCCAATCCCCAGTGCTACCTATGGTATGATTCTAAGTGGATGAAAACAAGAAACTATAGGCGAAGTCAAATATGCAGGATTGACAGGGACTAAGAAGGAGAGAGGAATAATAATGAACACAGGTTGCAAAGGCAGGGAGGAGGCTCACTTTTACATTATAATGGTAGAGGCCTGTCGCACATCAGTTCCAAGCCCTAGAATGCAGGGCAGCTAGTGTGAATTCTAACATCAACCATGTATTCTGGGAAGTAGTGATGTGTCCGTGTAGGCTCATTAATTATTTCAAATAGAGAACTCTGTGTGGATGTTAATAACGTGCTAGGCAGCTGAGTTATACAGAAATATTATAGGCAGTCAGGCAGGGCTGGGCCCTCTAACGAGCCAGGACGGAAGAAGAGATACCTTGCAAATGTGGAGGACACAGGCACTTCCACTGTGGACCCAAGCTCAGGACAGATTAAACAAATACAGCCACATAGATCCAGAGGGATGGGCATCAGGGATTGAAATTCTAAATCAATCACCTTGAAAAAGTCAGGAAGAGCTATGAACCCAACCCCTATGGGAAAAATCCCTGTTCTGTACTCACGCCCACTTGCTACATGATTTGCTTCCCCATTTGATCTGATTTAATCAATTTTACTTGAGCAAGTATACTCATAATCTTCTCGGTTGCCCATGGTTCTGCCCCACTTCACGCCCACCTTGCAGTTTCCCATATTTCCTACCTTGGACTCCCCTCACATCATGGTTTTGTTCTGTAAAAATCCCTAGAAAAGGCAGGGTCTTGGCCCCACTTGGATCTCCTTCTGTCCCTCTCTCAAACAGAAGCTTTCTTCCCTTAATAAATATATTCTGCTCTTAAACCCCTATGGTTCCTAAAAGTCATTCTTCAGTTTTTGAGAACACAAACTCATCTCAGCATCTTGCAGGTTGGAGTTTCTTCCCTCTATATGAAGAATGAGGGAAGCCTATCCATTCATGGCAACAGAGCATAGAGGAGAAATCCCTGTAGATTCCTCTTAATTCCACTATGAATCTGATATTAAAAAAAAAACTAAATGAAAACCAAACAGGCGGAAGAAGGACATTAAGAACATTAATTGAGGCACCCTCAGTCTCATGGCTCCCAGCTGTACACCTCAGGTCCCTCTCAACACAAGCACTGCTACTAGTGGCTGCAGGCAGCAGAGAGACACTGTGAAGTGACGGGTTCTTTAGTTTCTTCCTCTGAGACAAGATGACTTGCCTTGCCTAGCAAGAGAGCTAAGCCTGGGAGAACAAGTAACAGTGCTGCCTACAACACTGTACGTGTCCACTCCTACTTAATTTTCATTACTGAACATCTAGTTCTCTAGTTTACGTTTGACACAATGGGACCAGCTAAGATCACAGATTCTAAGTAACTGCTTCGATATTATATACAGAATGAGTGGAAAAGGCAGTATTAAAACAACATGGAACATGGGAAATCTTAGAAAAAAATTTTTTTTAATTTTAAGACAGGGTCTACGGGGTCTCACTGTGTAGATGGGACTTACAGCGATCCTCTTGTTCACAGCCTCCCAAGTGCTGGGATTACAGGTGCGCACCACCACGCCCAGTCTCAATTGCCATCTCAGCATGCTCTGAGGGTGGGGCTGGCATGGCAAGCCCAGGGATCGAACTCGTAGCCCCTGTGTCTGCCTAAGCAGGCACTTTAATCTGGTGAGCTATTCGGCCAACCCTCATGTTAGAAAAATGGATTAGACAAGCTATGAACATTCTCGCCTTACTTTTCATTCTTTAGAATCCTTTACACTTTTCCTACTAAAATAATGAGCTCAGTGCAGGGAGGTGGGTTCTCTTCAGTTGCACGGTTCTTTGCTTCCCCACGTTCCCAACACTGACGCAGAAGCTACAACGTAGAGGCGTTTAGGAGAGATTGAAGTTGACACTGAACAGAAGGAACCGAACCTTGGTACTGTTGCCAAACCACCAGAAATAGGTAAGAGTTCCCAGCTGACTGGGCCACACGACTGCGCTCATGTTGACCTCTTTATTTCTTATAGCCACAAATGGAACTCGGAGATGAACGTGCTCCACAGGACCTAAAGGAACAGACAGAAAAGGGCGGTGTTACGTTTCCAGAATAAGCTCTCACACTCCATCACACTCCTGCACTCCTAATCTCACTGTCTATTATCTTGTCCTATCATAAAGCAACCATCACAAACCTATAAATGCTGGAAAGCATTGCATGCTTAAAAGGAAGAATCAGTTTCAGTGGTGCAACAGGGAGCTCAACTCCAGTTTCAATTTTCAAGAACGGTACCTGAATTTAAATTGCATCTGATAAAGCCCAACTTCTAGGAACTCTTAGGAATCTCTAACCCAGGGAGAAAGCTCCTTTACCAGACTTGTAGCCATTAATCAGGAAGATAAACAGCAGACTGCTCTCCTCGTGAGCCTCGCCTGGGCTGAGATGGGGTCACTGCGCTGTATGGAGGGCGGTCTCCATTATCCTCAGTTGAGAGTGGCTTCCACTCTTCTGTAACTGGCCCTTGTGCCATATGTTCTGCAGGACACAGCGGGTATCATTCTAAAGTGGGCAAGCCTCTCCCCTTTCTCTTCTACAAAGGAGGAAATGTACAACTCCCTCTATGGAATGGAAAACAAACGCCAGTTCTGAAATGAAACTCCTGTTCCTCGCATGTTTTGCATCAGAAAACTGGCATCATTATCATAAGCTCCATGCTAGCAGTAAAAGACACAGCTGGACACACTCTGGGCATGACGTGTGAGGATTTTATTCATTTCCAGAATAAAGGGAGAAGAGGAAAGTGCTGAGAAAGTATCAATGTACCGGTTTTGTGTGTTGGGGTTTGATATGTTGTTTTTTTCAACGTGGATATGCAACAAAATGGATAAACCTGAGCACAGCATGTCAAGCTAAGTAAAAGAAGCCAGGATGGAAGACTGAGCACCTCATCCTTTCAGTTATATTTGCAATCTAAAAAAGTTGAAGTCAGAAAAACAAAGAGTAAAAGGTGATATGTTGGGATGTGCAGGAGGGACGGGGTCACTGTGAGTCAAAGGATGTGAAAATACAGTAAGAGAGGTGGAAGACACAGGAGACATGTACTGTATAATGGTGACTAGTGTGTACCATTGTGCTGTGTTTTGTTTCTTTTCTTTTCTTTTTTTTTTTTTTTTTTTTTTTTTTTGCAGAACCAGGGATTGAACTTAGACCCTTGTGCTTGCCAGAGAAGCACTTATTTTACTGAGCCATTTCTCTGGCCCTGCATTTTGAAACTCACTAAGAAAATAGACTTTTCAACATCCTCATTGTAAACAGTAAGCATGAGAGGTAAAAGACATGATGTTCAGCCTGGCTGCACCATGTCACACACACACACACACACACACACACACACACACACGTTTCGTGGTAGCTTCTTGTAGATAATAAGCTTCTACAATTTTTGTCATTTAAAAAATTAATGAAGAAAAAGAAGCTACGCTTTCTGCCCACCGCTCCCTGCCCTGACTCCCAGCATATGGCACCTCAGGACTTTCTTCCAGCAAATAATTTCAGCGCTGTCACCACTTATACACATTTGGCTGGAGGTCTAATTATATTAAATGAGCAAATGGATTAGTTTCTGTACAGTTTGTTTGATGTCAGTAAAAGAATTTACAAGATGTGTGAAAATACTGCCTACATCTGTTGTTTTATTTATTCATTTTTAGGTGTTTACCTGCTCAAATTTCTACTTATCATTTCTACTTTGCAGATCACTGAGGAAGAGCGAAAGGCTGAGAAAAGGGGTTTCTGGGTAGCTCTTGCCCAGGGAGCAGGATGCAAGGCCTGCTCCCGTGTTGACCCTGCAGAATCTTTCTTCCCACTCGGGTTCACATTTCTCACTCCCTCCTACCAAGACAAAGGCCTCTACTGCACCTGCTGCCTCTGCTTCTTGCCACCGCTCTCTCCCAAGGAACTGATACCTCTTCCCCAGGAGATGCCATGAAGCTTGGGCTTCCCCACGGCTCAGCAAGGCCGCACTGTGGCTTGGGCCCTTGGAAATCTTCCCAGGTCCTGCCACTTTGGAGACCTTGGCACAGGCAGGGCTGGCACCACAAGGGACCTCGATGACCGCGATGGTGAAAGGAGATCTCCTCCCTGAGCTGACGCTGGGCAAGACTGCGACGGGGCGTCTATGCATTAGGGTAGCGTCAAGCATGCCCACATTTTTCTGCTCAGGTCAAGCATGTGCGGTTCAATTTACTCTTAAGTAACCACACCACGCAGCACTTTTTCAGGGCAAGGACTCTGATCTTCCTGGTGGAGGCAGCGGGGGTAGCGAGAAGAGAGCCGAAGGGATTCAGGAGGAAACAGCAAACTCCTAAAACCCGGCTGTCAAGTAGTCCCCCTTTTGATAAAAATCTAATAATCTGTGCGAGCTTGGTTATTGCGGGCAGCTAACAACGACTTTTGTTAGGTAATGGCCCAAGGTGAGGCCAAGAGCAGTTTCTGCTGTAATAACTGTCTGGTAAATGCGGCCATGATTGATTTGGAGGGAATTATGAGCACGATAAAAGTTTCAAGGAACATTTCCTCCTTCGAGCACATAACCCACCGCATAAAGCTGCGCCCGGCCGCTGCTGCTGGCGCTGAGTCCTGGTGGGCTCCCCACCTGAACGCAGGACCTCCTGCGGCAGCGGCAGCGAGTCTCCCGAAGGAGGACTGCGCCTTTCCTTTCCCCTTTGTCTTCATTTTTAAATGCAGCACAAGCGTCAAGCAGACAGCTAATGGGAAGTTCTGGTAATTACGATAATAACAGGCAGCATCTATCATGTTCAAGCGGGGTAATGTGGTGTGCTGCATGCCACGCAGGCAAAGAATGTCACCTCAGGCTGAAATGGCTGTCCTTCAAATAGGACTGTCCCCAAGGCTGGCCTGGCTGGCGTCTGGGAACTTGGCTCTTGGAGTGCTTCCAATCAACATGAAACTGGTAAGCACAGAGGATATGGCTCAGTGGCACAGTGCCGGCATGGCAAGCACAAGGTCCTGAGTTCAATTCCTGCTACCAAGAAATAAAAGAAACATTTAACTGCTAAGAGCGGTTTGTTTTGCCAATTGGTTTTGGAAACAGTATGATTTGTTCTGAACAGCTGCTTTCTGTGGGAGGTTAGAGTTGTGGTCTATGCCAGGTAGAGGTGCTTAAGCGCTGCGAGTACCCCAATAAAAAGTGTGGGCATGGCATCTCTAATGAGTTCCTTTGGCTGCCAGCCCAAATGTGGGCACTGCCCACTGCTAGAGGAGCTGGCTTAGCCAGTGTTGCTCGGGTAAGGACACATGGACCCTGTGCCTCGTTTGCGCCGGGCCTTCTCTCTGCATGGCCGATTCTGCTCTGCATTCCACTAGGATAAACAGCCAGGAGCAAAGCTCTGTGCTGAGTTCTGGCAGTCCCCTTAATGCCTCGTGAAACATTGGGGTGACCTCAGGGACCCCCTTAACACATCCATTATCTAATGTGACTTGCACAAGCTAATTATTAAAGAGGAAGAGTTAGAAGTTTATGGAGACGGAGAAAGTTGACCAATAGCGGGCATTCAACAAAGGGCTGTGATCAGAATCCAGAGGCACATCTCCTGCTCAAAAGCCTGGTCCTGCACAGCCCCAGCCGGATGCCTGGCTGGCGCTCTCAGCACCCCACGACACTGTCCGTGGGCGGCAGCCGCCACCATCTTTCCTGTTCAAGGCTCATTTTTTACAGTACCTCTCTTTCCCCAGAAGAATCTAAATCTTGCCTGGGCAAGACCAGGCGCCTTGCTATCGCTGACTTCCTGGAAAAGTACTTTACATATATTAGGAAGTCAACAAATACATGTTGAATAATCAGGGAATTTGGGGTATTTTATCTGTATTTTCTTTCTATTATGATGAGAGCCCTGTGAGGCAAAATGGGAGAATTAAGCCATTTTAAATTCAGACTTTAGAAAACTCAAAAAAGAAGTGATTTAGCTCAAGGTCATATAGACTGCATTACTGCAGCCGTAACTGATACCTAACCACGCCTCCTCCCAACTACTTCTACTACGATGCTGCTCTTGGACTAGGGACTACGTAGCCCACCGTTTGCCAGGGACCCCATCGGTGTGGCTTATGGAGGAGTTTATGTCCCCATCAAATTGTTGATAAGCAAAGAGCTTCTTATATTCACTTAAATTCTTTCATGTTTAATTGTCACAATATGTGACAAAGTTGTAAAACTGGGACTGACAAGCTAGCTCAGTGGTCTGAAGCACCTGCTTAGGCGAGCTTAGGCAGGTGCAGGGGACCGCGGTTTGGTCCCTGGCACCACATGCCACACCAACCCTGACCTATAGGCGGGCTGAGCCAGACCAACAAAATAAAAAATAAAAAGTTGTAAAACCATTGGTCCCTGCTACTTACAAACCACATGTAGGAAGAGGACGGCGGTATCTGAGCCCAGGTTGTTCTCTGCGTAGGCTGTCACCTGGAAGATCCCTGCACTCTTATACACGTGCTTGATGCCATCCTCAATGGGGCTAAAGTTAGCATAGGACACAGCAATCCCATCCCCAAAGTCAAGCTGGATATTGGTCCTCTGAAGATCACCCTGCAGCACAGAACAGAGCGGATCAGGTCTAGTCATGGGGGCCTACCTGACCCTCCAGTGCTGTCTCCTGGGCTGCAGCATCACTGTGTCTGGAACAAGCCTCAGTCCCTGGGGCAGAAGGCGCCTAGTGTGATCACCAGACTTCTACCTGATTTCCCAGAGGCTGTTACGGCAGGACCAAGCTCAGGGCAGCCTGCGTCACTGAGAACTGGCAACAACAGGCAAGCACTGAGGGATGAATCCCAACAGCTGTGCTAATGTCTTGCAGTCACTAACAATTACACTTTCTTATCAATGCCAAGCAATTACTCTGCTCACAGTTCCACACTGTAGAATGTATTTACAACTTACAATTAGAGATTAAAAAATAAAATTAGGCCAGTCTCACTGCTACTGGTGAAGACCCAAGGTCTAAGCAGACACAGTCTAGTTCCAGTACTCCTGCTCTCACCCTGTGCTCTCATTACAGTTCCTTTTCTTCACTATTATGTCCCAAGGACTAAGATAATGACTTTGTAGATGTTGTATGCCACCTCCAAAATAATTACATACAGTAGGATAATGATTCGCGTTCTATGGACCAACTCTTGTTACACTATCCAAATTTACCTCTCCATTCTCTTATTCTTCTTTGTTTCGGTTTTGTTTTGTTTTTTTTTTTTTAATGTATTTAGGACAGAGTCTACAAGATCTCACTACATAGATCAGACTCATAGTGATTCTCCTACTTCCAGCCTCCCAAGCGCCGGGATTACAGGCGCACACCACCACACCCACTCTCAATTGCTGGCTCAGCGTGCCCCTGGGGGGCAGGGCTGGCACGGCATACCAGGGATCAAGCCCCAGACCCTGCGCTCTGCCTAAGCAGGCACTTTAGTCCACTGAGCTATCTGGCTGGCCCACACTCTTATTCTTCTTGAAACCTACCTAAGCCTCTCCTTCCCTGCAGCCTCTTCTTACATCCCAGCTCAGACACCCCCACTCGGGGTCTGGCCTCCTGCTGTCAGCACTTCAGCTGAGCGCCTCACACCCCCAGGGACACACAGCTTCCCAAGCACACCTGCTGAGCCCCACCCGCTGCACACCAATGTGCTGGGCCAATGCTCCAGACAGGCAATGGACCTAACAGAACGAAGATTCTGGATGAAGGCAAATAAGGCATTTCTGTTCATTTCTGCACAAAGATGGATGCTAGAATCAAAAGAGAAATTCATTGTCTTGGGATTAGGAGCCACGCCTTCTGCCCCTCATGAAGCCCTGGCCACAGTTTTCCTCTCTGTCTCTTCCTGCCTGGCAACCGGGATGTGAATGAAATATTGACAGGCGCTCTTTTGGCTCAAGAGAGTATCAGCCACTCTTGAGTTTATAAATATAAATTAAAGTGGAAATGAGCTCAAAGCAATTCAAATGGATAAGATCATGTTTTTTCATATCCATTCAAGGGAAGGTTTTTGAAAAGCCCTTGTGGAACTGTGATAATGACCTCCTCCGACTCACAAAGTACTTGAACTCAAGCACCTGGCATGGGTGAAGCTGGAGCATCTGCCCACCTGGGATGAGGAACCTTCACCCTCCTGGCTGGCGTGGTCTTGACCTTAGAGACTAAAGGGCTCATGTCTGTGAGAAAAATCCTCTGGCCTACTTTGCTCTTTTTGAAGAGCGAGAGCACAGGGCAATTTGCGTGTAGATTCAGCAGGCCTCCTCCATCAGGCCAGCCTTCCAGCTTCACCAGCTCAGGAATGCCCAGTCTCTGGTGAAACCCTTCAGGAGGCGAGCAGGAAGCTGGCGCAGCGGCACTCCCGCCCCGGAATAGAAGGCTGCAGTCTGACTTCATTGCTCAGAAAGCAAAAGACACTATAAAATGAACTGATGGAGCAGGGAGCTGGGGCAAAAGCAACTAATATAACCTTCTTTACAAAGATAAATAGAAAGCAGTTCAATAATCTTCCCCCACCCTCAAACTCATGCTTTCCAGACCCTTTACAAGCTTCCTGAGCCTTTCCAATTAGTGGGACATGGAGTTAGAAAAAACAAAAGAGGACCCTAAAAGCAGCAGATGTAAGTGGAATTTCTTTTTCTTGCACTTGACAGAAAATGTTTATGGTGATAAACATTTCCTAAATAAGCCCTAAAGGAGAACCCAGATGAATATAAAACATATGCTTTTCACCCACATGATGCATCCGGAATATATCCAGGTCTCCATGTCCCAGAAGCAAGTGGACTCCTGGGTCGGCGAGAGGGCTCAGAGGTCTAAAGCGCCTGCTTAGGCAAGCTTAGGCAGGTACAGGGGACCGCGGTTCCCTCCCTGGCACCACATGCCATGCCAGCCTCACCCTCAGGGCAGGCTGAGCTGGCCAATAAATAAATAAACAAACAAACAAACAAACAAGCAAGCAAGTAAGCAAGGGGGCCCCTCTGCAGATGAAGTCCTCGTAGGATGAAAGGAGGAAGGTTCTTTCACCCTGCCCGGCTTCTGGTCATGGGTCGTCACCGCTTCCTGCTGACTCTGATGCAGCGGCTTGGGATAGAGATGAAGGGTCTTCTGCTTCCTTCTCTGGGAATGAGGAAGGCCTGCTGGCCTGTGAGTTCTGACTTCAGAGACCCCGGGGGGCACCTACCTCCTCCATAAGGATGATGAAGGTTGCATTGTGTCCCTGCTCTGCCACCAGACGGCCATCGTTTGTCACCACGTGGAGGCCCCGAGGGGCTTTTCCAGGACACAGCTGGGCCTTGGCAGAGTACTTGTCTCTTAGTCCATCTGTGCAGTTGTTGGACACGATTCTCCGGTACCTGAGGAGAGTCGACAGTTGAGAGTGGTGTTTGTGCCTAGAGCGGGTGTGTGCGTTTGATCGTGTGTGTGTCAGTGTACGAGAGCAAGAGCAAGAGAGGTGTTTCTTGCAGCTGCACCTAAAGTCTGAATCCCAGAAAGACAGCCGTTTATGGAGACAAAAGCTGAGGAACTGCTGTCCCTCAATCTTGCGAAAAGTAGCTCCTTAAACATTGTTATTGATCCTATCTGGTGAGCTATGGATTGGATCAGTGTCTAAACGAACGAAGGAAAACCAATATCTGACTCACTGAGGTCTTGGGCACTGGCCTGGGGACTAAAGCAAAGTGGGCACAGCTCTCTGGCAGGGCAGGGCAGGGCTGGGCTGGCTTCCTCTGGACCACCTCCGGCTGTCTCTGTACCAGAGAGCACCGGAACCCCAGGCACCCAACTCCAGCCCCTCGGGAGAGCTCTTGCTGTCTCCTCTGCACCCCCAGGATGCCCTTCTGTCCCTTCAGACCTAGCAGCCCTTCCTCTGAGCCACAGGGCCATTCCACAGAGCACTTTCTCCTTTTGCTCATATTTCAAGTCCTGCCCAACACAAGTGCCAGGTGAAGAACCAGAAGTGTGAGGCTTGATTTCAAAGTAAAAGCACCTCGCTAATGAGGTCGGTTTGGAAAAATGTCCCTTCAAAGCCATGCGGGCTTCCACAAAAGAATTATCGTGTCTACAGTGATGACACGTCACGTGTCCTGCTGGCCCATAGATCTGATTTATATGTAGACATTATTTCTAGGTACATCACGAACTCTAAACCTTCACTAAAGTTAAAACTCTGTAAAGCCACATAAAACAAAGCACCATCATCGCAGCTCCCTCCACCCTGCAGCTCGATGCCCGCCGGCACCCTAGCCGCCGCATCTCGTCTCCTTTCTCCTCGCAGTCAGGGATATTGAACTGATTCATCAAGCTGGCTTCTTCTGGTGGCCTCAACACCAGAGAAACCCCAAACCTCCTCGGGTGGCAGTGGTCCCTCGTGACACCTGACATCTCCCCATGGCTCCCACTGCTGAAAGGCCTGCCCTAAACCTTCCTGCGGAGACTGTAGGCAGACACGAAGCAGATGTCATGAGGGGCCACCAGCCCAGACGGCGGCTGTCAGCTGAGCTGAGCAGGGCTGCCCTCTGCGGTAGGTGCTCGCCACGCAGGCGTCCTTAGCCCCTGAAATGTGCTTCATGTGGGATGCAGTAGGTTACAATGTAGACTCTTTGTGCTAATTAAATAAAATGTATTAGAATTAAGCTCAACTTTCAAAACTTTTAAACTAGAAAATTATAAATTATGTTTTTATGTTTATTCCTCATAATAGCTTTCTTTTGTTCATCACCGACCTACATAATCAAATTTTTCTAACCTGCTTCTACTTTTACCCATATTTACTCTCAACTTATTTGTTTTCTCATTAGGATAGATTGTTTTGGTGACTTCCATGTCCTAATACAAATATAATATCTACTCTTTCCCTTTAACTTCAATTAAAACTCAAGCTGGTTCAGGAGCTCTAATATAAGCCAACACTTAAGAAACCTGGAAGTATTTGTAGAAACCTAGAATACATTGAAAAAATATGAACAACTTTGTCTTTCACCTTCCTGACTTGTCTGGCTGCTGCTTGATGCTTTGGTATCCCTGAACCGCCTCCACCTGGGTCCACTTACACATGGCCCGTGATCACGTGAGACACCCTCAGCTATTCTTTCCCAAAGATGTCCCAGGGATGCAGTGATTAGGAACTGAGTGTCCCACCCCATTGAGCAGTTCCTGTGGCCTCATAACCCTCTTCTTTAAACATTTTATCCCCTTTTCTGTAATATCCTACCTCCTTACATTGAAGCTGCTGGATTTTCAGTTTGACTGGCTCACATTTCTAGACCAGTGACACAACATCAGAGGTCCTAAAACTCAGCCCAGACTCCAAAAATAGCCCTCCAAGAGTCAAATATTTGACTGAAAATATGTCCTTCGGAGCATCTAGGAACACTCAATACACCTTTTTCATTATGTTATTTTTCCTTATAAATGTAAACTGAGATATACTACTATCTTACAACCAATAAAGTAAATGTAAAAGAAGGTGAGCGGCTTGGGAAGGCTGAAGGAAGCCCCACTGTAAGAGACGGTCCAGAGGTCCAGAACTTCTTCGTCCCATGACACTCACAGAGTGGTGCAGAGATGAACGGTACCATCGCCATTATTCAGAAGATTATTAGAACTGAAGAATCTTAACCTCACCCCAGTTCTCCCCAACCTGAAACTGCATTCTAACAACATCCCTGGGTGGTCTGTAAGCCCCCTGGAAGTCGGGCAGTGCTGTGTGAGCCCACCTATCCACTGGACAGAAGTCTTCTGGATCACAGAGGCATCCGAGGAAAAGAGTACACAGCACATCTGTAAGGGAACTTTGCAAGTGTCTGAAAGTAGCTACTAAGAAAACAAGGAGAGAAAGAGACGTATTGGAACTTACAGAAAAGATGCTCTGTTCATTTTACTCCACAAATTCCTCAGCATTGGATTCCTGAATTTTCATGACAAGTTTTGAGCATGAGAGCATGAGAATTTATATTCACCTCCTACCAGGTTCTTTCACCTGAGGACCAAGGAATAAAGACAACATCCCTTTCCAGGTGACAAGTTTTACCAAATAACAGCGTCTGCCAGAGATAAATGGCAAAATGCTCCGAAACCCAGGCCACCAGAAATCGGAGGCCCTCCGGGAAGGTGCTCTCAGCTCAGCTCCTGTTTTCCTCGGAAGCTTCTCGTCACAAACTCTACTTACGCTCCGTCTTCCTGAAGAGCAATGATTTCCTTGGATTCTGGTGCGGAGAGTGGAGACAGCAATGAGTTAAGAGCCTCCTCCCGTTACTTACCCTGTGCTGTTGAGGTAGCTTTGCCCGAGACTGCAGTCCTTGGAGGGGGAAGCAGGGTTGTACCAGAAGGCAGGGACACACTGGCTCTCTCCATGTCTCTCGTAGCCATAGTCACTGTTAGGAAAAGAAACACTACAGCATGGCGGGTACGTACAAACACTACAACACTCCCAGACACGCGCAGACCCACACTCACGGGAGACCTATGCAAAAGCTGTGACACACTGTGTTATCTAACCCCGTGAGGATTCACGTTCATACTTTGGAAGTGAATTATCAGATTTATAAATAGTCTCAAGTTATTTGAAATCTAGGGGAAGAAAGGGTGGATTATCACATAGAAAGTCTAGGTTAGAAAAGTATATATTTAAATACCGTTCCAGGTATCCCAGTGTGAGTTGCCCTTGGGAGGCTACTATATTTTTCAAAGCATATTCTGTCTACAGTAGAATTAATGCAACAGGTAGACAGCAACCATGAAGATGACTTTCAATGTAAAGACACACTTTTATATAATGACTATTATGTGTGCTTCCAAATGTACTTTGTATATTTCACTTTCATTTTTTCCTTTATCAAATACAAATACACACATGCATTTCAATGTGTGCACACAGCCATCCAAATTTTTATGGAGGACATACAAGAACCACCCTCCCCCCAAGAGAAGCATCATGCTTTTGCTTGTGTCTATGAAATCTCCGCTATGATAAATGGGGAATGTGAGGTGTGTTCCCCTTTCTCTCCCATGTACAAAATGCATAACAGAACAGGGTAGGCTGGAACCCCCACCTGCAGGCCCAAGGAGGTTCCTCTGCTTCCTAGAGCTCCCTGGGGTTCCCGAGGATTGCTTATGCTAAGATACAAGAGGCAAAAAGGTTTACTGCTCCCGTCACCCGCCAGGTAACTGCTGAAGACAGCTCCTCTCGCTCGGCAGGAGCATTCATGCCTCCAGGTTTAGCAGCCACGCTTTCCTGCTTGCCTATTGCCCCGCAGGGTGTACAGCGACCCTGCAGCCTCTCAAGCAGCCAATTTCTGGACCCACTGCTGCTCTCTTCTTCCACTCCCACGTTCTCTGAGCCAATATTCTGCTCATTTCCAGTGGACACACGGGCTTGGCAACGAGAGCCACGACGCACTCCAACCTAGCTGAATAGAACAGAGCCGCAGGAAACAGAACGCTAGTTGCTGGGCTCAGAAGAGGCAGGCGATTAATGTGACCGAGTTTATTATCTGACCAGTCTGACCCCATGCCATGTTCCTTTACCTGACCTACAAGTGAACACACCTGCCAGGCCCTCCACCTCTCTTCATATATTTATATGAAATGCTCTGGACTTTCCTGTGTCTGGTCATTTCCTACTCATTCATCTTTAATATTTGGGTTGTGTGAAGCCATCCTTAACTGCCCAGGTAAAGTCTTTGGACCCATAATATCTTGGAAATATGACTGGAAACTATGTAAGAGCTGAGATATTCCTCACCGTTTTTCAGCAATGTGAGAATATACTAAGTTAGTGCAGGCACAGAGTAGAAATTCACTGAGCCGATGGATAGTCCCCGTGCACTAACCCAACCTTGCCAACTACCCTGCTGTGTGTGTCTAGCTCTGCAGGGGCTCCTCAGGTCTGCACGGATGCTCTAGGGTAACCAGAGACTGCCGAGAGAGCTCAAGATGTGCCGAGAGCTCAGGACAGTGGCGGATGGAGAGTGAGTGCATTCGGAGGCCGATGCACGCAAGGCGGAAAGAAGTTCCACCTTGATACAGCTCTGCCTCAGTGAAGAGGTAAAATACGCTTCTGCCAAGTGAATATTCTGCCAAGCCTCCTAGTCAGCCACCAAGCTCTCCCAGCCAGACAGTTCACACAGACTCAGCTAGTGTCTGCCAGCTTGCAACAGCCCATGAGAACCCACTGCTAAAATTTCCCAAATTTTGCAGGCTAATTAATGTCAATTAAAGCCACTGTTAAAACTGAACTATACAAAATTTCATTTACATGAATTATATGTATACATTTATAAATACTCAAAATGCAATTGCCTAGTTTCTATGTTCTATTTTATTATTACGATATGTATACTCTGCTACATAACAGATAGCCATAGTATCATCACATTGCCTAGCAGCTGTGCTGCCAGGTTATTTCCTAATGTTTTTGTTTGGCAGGAGCACTGTACGCTGTGGGGCTGATTCCTGCTCTCCCTGATCTGTATTCACCGCTGTCCTACGGCAGCTTGGAGCCTGCAATGAAAGGAGTCTGTACAAAGGCGGTGTTCACGTGCTCCTGGAGATTCACCAGTTCAATATTTGCCAGCACTCCACTGAATGTCTTATTTCCACGCATTATTTTTATCCATGGAAACATCAAGCTGTGACGTGTGCACACTACTTGGGGAATATTCTCTGACCTCGTTATGAGGTTAGCCTGTTGAAATGCCCTGCAGCCCCCAGGAAATACTGGTACCAGGAAGGAACAACGCTTTTCTCGGCAGCTCTGGGAAGGAGAGAAATGCCTTGGTGCTGTTCGGCAAAGGAAACCATCCCAGGCAGCTCCGTTTGGCTCTGCTACCTGTTAGCGATGCAGTAATTAAAAAAGATGCATCAGGCAGGATGCTTTGCCTGGAAGAGCAAAAGCACCTCATTAATATTTAACAACTGTAATGGAAACTGGCTGCCCCCGAGCCTTGGACTTCTTCATTAATTTCTTCTAAGTGTATATTAAAATCTCTCACACTGTCCAACCTGCTTCCCAGACTTCCAGTCCGCATGATTTACACAAACAAGGGGCTCTGGCAGCCACGCAGCTGCCCGTGGAAAGGTGTGCTCCACCGCACTGGGAGCCCCGGACACCACCTGCTGGAAAGGCTGCTTTGCCTCGGGAAGTGGGCACCACAGACACCAAGACACACGAGCCCTTTCCCTCAAGAAGTGAAGTCATCTCTCTGTGTTTCCTGATATAAAACATTTGAAATTTCTAAAATTTTAGGAGATATTTTGTTCATTTCTAGGAATCTGTGCATCATTGAATCCCCATCCTTCCAAGGAAAGGCCTTTGATTTTCAAGGAAGAGCAGCCGTGTTAGCTCAGAAACCAGAAGTCTGTAAGAGGAGGAACGGCTGCCCCCGGGCCTCGGGTCTTTTCGCTGGGGCTGAGGACCAGAAAGCAGAAGCCAAAAGAGCACAGATGCCTGGGACAAGGTCTACGTAGCCCACGAAGCAGACGGCGGTGAACACCGAGACTCCCGCTCCGCTCAACCTAGTACAACACCACGGGGCCCCACTGCATCGTCAGACATGGTCCCTGGTCCCCAAGAATGACATTCTAAGACTCATGGAGATAACCGCAAAGTCACGGTCTCTTCCAAACAAGTTGCCAGTGCCGCCCACGAATCAGACCGCGCAAAGTGCCCGCGTGCTCCCTGTGCCTCAGGTCGCGGAGCAGCTGAGGTCGTGGGGCTGCAGGTACACAGGCGGCCCTGACTCCCTCCAGGGCACTAGGTAAGGGGTAAATCTGAACTGGGTGCTGGGCGAGCACTCAGAGAGCAGAAGCAGCCACAAAGCCAACACCAGCGACGGATTAACAGCTGACATCGTGTAGGCTGGCATGCAAGCCTAAACTGAGCCAGAGAAGAAGACTTCTGTACCCACAAAGACGTCTGTACCTAAGGCATTTTGGAAATTGTTTAGAAAACCCAATAATCATCCCTCAAATATTTCTCCTAGCCTGACCTTCCCCTGGTGTCCGCCTCCTTCCTCTCGCTCACTGCAAGTGTTCTCATGTGCTGCCGTCCCGTGTCCCTTGCTCAGAAGGTCCACTTATTTTCCTTGAATTATTCTGCATAAATCTGCTGCACACATCCTCGACCAGTTCGCAAAGGATCCACCACATGCTAATATCAGCCCTCGGGGGTCTGGGTTCCCAGTAGAACTTGCCACAATATAGAAATATTTTGTATCCACACCGTCCAACACGGTAGCCACTAACAGGAATAACTAAAGAGTTGATTTTGAAATTTTATTTCAATTTAATGCAAATACATGCGTGTGATTAGTAGCTACCACCATTATAATGAACAGTGTAGTTTGGGCCCATAAAATTCAGCACCTTATTATATTTTTTATTATTCCCTGTTACACCTTCTTTAGCGCAGTAGCTCTTGCTTGCGCATTGTTTATTACCTTGTTTACACTTGGTGTGGCCGCGATGGGGGCAACATGCTCTCTGCGTTCCATGTGCACAGAGCCGGAACGGGCTTCAGGTGCATCCAGACGCATGAGCCCAGGCACCCCTAAATCTCTTTGCCTCTGTCTTCGATGTATACCACCACTGCCTGCCTTTGCCAGGGAGGTCTGGCGCTACACCGGAGATCAAGAGTAGCCACGAAGACTCAGCATTCTGGACCCAAAATCCTATTGTCTTGAATGAATTTGCCTACATCTTCATTCCCATCTATAAAATACATGAAACAGCAAATCCCAAGAAATGGCTGAGACAATTATGTAAAGAACCGACATCTAAGACTTGGAACGATACCTCCCAGGTGCTCAGCAAAGTCGATGTTTGTCAAGCAAGTCCTTAGGTGGACAGTGAGGAGAAAACACTCGACGCTGATTTCTTGCCGATCACATACGCTTGGGATTCCCTGAGAGCTACTTCTCCCCACGAGGTCCCCTGAAACCGTACAGTGAACCCCCTGTTTTCCCTTTTCTGACTACCCACAGCCTCTGATGAGCTTAATTCTCAGTGAGAATTTGTTCCTGGCTCCTCAGTAGCACCTTGGAGGCAGCAGCAAAGTATCTCTCTCGTGTGAGCTTAAGGCTGGGGATCTGCGGCACTTAAATGGAAACCAGCAATTATCCAGTGGTCCCCTCATTACAGACACTCTTGTGGAAGTGGTGGGCACCAGTGACATCCCACAGATAAAATGTTTCTAAGAATCAGTAGAGCTCTCTAGATAGGAAGGACATAGGTGAAAATTACCCTACCTCCGTGTGTCTCAAAGCCTGTACCAAAGTGAAGATATTGAACCTCTTTCCCTAGCTTTCAACCCCCTAGTCTAGGTTGTACCCTCTCCCTGCTGTTTCCGAGACATAATTGTGGCATGAGCCAACCCAGTGATTGCACCCTGACCCGGCCTGGGAACAACTAAGTTGGAGCGCGTGACAACCGCCTGCACTGCCTGAGCTAACAGCGCTTCCTGGCAGGGACGAACACACACGAGGGCACCAGCTAGGAAATGGTTGCCGGGCGCTGATTTCCAGCACTAACATTAAAGGTGGAGAGACCAATATTATGCGTTCAAAACAATGACAAGTTTTAAACCAGTTGTAAAGGTCACTGAAACGGACTTCAAAACAAAAACGACAATTTCAAATATTCATCTCCATTTCACCCCTCCACACCACTGTAAATAATCCAAAAAATTAAGAAGCCAAAAGCTACTTCTCCAATACTCAGAAATGGTGAAAATATGCTTCTAGGTCACATTATTTTCTTATTGTTGCTCTTCAATTAAGCGTTCTACGTACCATCCAACCTTGGGTGACCGTGCATCGTGTCTCCAACTTCCTTTTAACATACAGTATGACTGACCACAGAAATGTAAACATATAATTACTCATATTTAAAAGAAAATCTATAATGTCTTCTAGGAGACTGTATATCTATCACAGTTCCAGCTCCAAAGGTCAAGGCTACTTCATTGGAAGTTGTTTTAGAGTTAATAAAACATTCTATTTCAAATTTCACCAACAGCAGTAAACATAGGTCATACGGAGATGAGTTTTAATTTTAGAGTAACTGAACACAGAGACTCTATTTCTTTTAAACATAGTGTAAATCTAAAATAGTAAGACTTGCTCGATTTCTTGAGAAACGATGGCATGCATGGGACTGCGGAATTTACCAAGCCTTGAGTTTGAACTCCAGCTGATTTGCTTTCCTATGTAACCTTGGTCGGGTAACTTATGACAAAGATTCCCACTCCCTTCTCATTCACTTGCAATGGGAAGGCTGCCAAGGGAGGAGGTCTTGGATCCCATCCCAGTGATGTCTCTACCAGTAGGAATAAGAGAACATATGATGCCACAGAAGGGATTCCATTCCTCACCTCTTGCTTTACTTAAGGATGGACTCTGCCAGCAGTCCCCAAGACGGGCTCAGGAAGATGCCAAGCAATGCCTCTGATATGAAAACAAATGGGTAGTATCCAAGGCACTACCCTGAAGACAGTGCTTACTGGGATGTGTCAGCTCTGGTTTACCTGCTAAGCTTTGGATGGGGACCATGTAGACTCGGGCTACAAGTTTCACACAGCACAGTTGTAACAGTCACTGCATGCGGGGAGGCTATTTTATATACTGCCAAAATAAATGGTGTCCTCCTCTATAACAGTGGTATCCACTCATTCCCTTATTAACTCATTTCTCCGTAGAACCTGACTAGACTCATGTTACATATATTTTCTTCTGTGGGGAAGGAGGTGAAGTCACAGAGATGAAGAACACATTGCCAAGATCAGCATCTGAGTATTAGCGCTGGAGTGTTTATCCAGACCAGAGATGGTAACAGAATTGCTGAAGGAAAAGGACTCCCATTACAGCGCCGGCTCCCGGCCTGCGCAGCCTCCCCAGAATGCGTGAGGGTCTGCAGCGGCTTGGAGGCCCAAGACAGCACATCACAGCGATGTGCATGCTCGTGTCTGCAGCAGCACCATAAGCCCTGAATCTTGGAAACGGCTGCATATCCACCCGCAAATGAGTGGATAAGAAGTGTGGCGTCAGCCCACAAAGTAGAGCCACTGTGCCACACAGAAGGGTAACTTCGCATCATTTGTGGGAAAAGGGACTCAGCTTGGGACATCATGTTAAGTGAAGTAAATCAGACACACGTGTTTAAATATTGCATGACTACTCTCAGATGAGAAACCCAAGATAGAAATAATTTAAAAAATAAATGATAGGGGCCGGGGAGACGGCTCAGTGGAATAAGTGCTTTCCTGGCAAGCACAAGGGCCTGAGTTCAATCCCCAGTTCCACAAAAAAATAAAAAATAAAAAAATAAATAATAGACAATAGAAAATAGAGGGCCAGGTCTCTGGTACCTGGGAAGTGGGTCTACAGATGGTAGGAACAGGGATGGGGAGGAGAGGAAAACCTAATAAACAAATAAGGAAGGTATGTTAAGTGCATGTAGGTACTCACTGATGCATGTAAACATTATACACTATGCACATGTTTTAATAAAAAAATCAAAAAGCAAAGAGTAGAAGTGAGAAGAGGACAGTAGGTTTAGCACAATCCCCGTAGCTGTGCGGGTGGGTCGAGAGGCTTTGAGACAGCGTGCTTTGGAAGGCAGCCAAGTGACCACTATACCACCAAAGGCCTCGGTGAGACAGCGTGCTTTGGAAGTAGATGAGGAGATTCACGGTGGTCTTGCTGAGGGGTGAGGCCCTCTTAGGGCTCTATTTCAGCTGCTGAATGGGTAGCGGCCTGTGTCATGGAGGCTGGAAAGGCGGCCAGGGACTCCTTCCAGAGAGGGTTTCCAGAGGAACTCTGCCTTGGCCGCAAGAAGTTTGACCTCACTCAGCAGATCCAGAGAGGTACACTGAGTAGACACACAGACCACAGAGAAGCCACAGCTAGAGGTGGACACTCGGGACGTGTGAGCCACTGCTCATAGCTGAGATATAAATCTCAGCAGGTGAGAGCTGCTGATGTAGCTCGGGGCAGAGGGCTGGACTAACATGTGACGTCCTGGATTCGATCTGTAGTACCACAGAAATGGTAAAGTAAAACAAAAGCATGAAACTCAGTTAGGTAGGAGAGTGCAGATTCCCAAGGCCGACTCGATCAGCGGTTGAGCAGGCCAAAAGGTTAACCGTCATGATGTGCTCTCTGCACGCCTAGACATCTGTGAGTTACTATACAGAGCCCCATAAAATATGCCAATTAAAAATGAAGTGCAAATAAAAGGAAAGGATGTCAGAGAGTTTTGGTAGAAGCAGTTTGAATGAATATGTGCAGAGGTGACCCAGCCCGCGGCTTGCTGAGCTCCGTCGGTGCCCAGCCCTCGCCCTCGGAAGAGTCCAACACAGCTGCGCACCGAGGATGAAGAGAAGGCCTCTGGGAAATGCTGAGGCTGAGGGGCACCTCACCCCCCAGAGAGCTTCAGCGCGTCCTGTCTCCTGCAGCGTGGGCTCCCAGCCATCCCGCCTACCACGCCAGCAGACACTCTTCCTACCTCTGGGTTGGGTCTTTCTCTACGCCATCCATCCATGCCCCACCACACACATGCATACAAACAAGTGACTGCTGGGTCGCACTTGGTGACTGAACCCCAAAGGACTTACCACTCGAAGTCCCAGTCGGCACAGACACAGGGTTCTGAGACCACAGACCCGGAATGGTCCCGGCCTAGGGCACACTGAGATCCTGGCTTGCGCTTCTTGAATATTTTCCTTTCTCCCATAACACAAGGTTCTCCCTGAAAGAAAAAGTCCTCAGTGAGCGAGCAGGCGAGCACACAGGAGGCTGTGCCAGCCAGCTTCTCGGCAATAGTCACTACTCTGCACTCTTTCGGTCACTCTGGGGAGCAGGTATATTGTCACTAACCACTTGGAAATTTCAAGAACAAAAGCGCCCACCTTCTGCCACGGCACCGAGGAACACCATGGGAGCCCGACCAACCACCACGTCTTCACCCTGCCAGCCCACAATGCCCACCCCCCACCTCTGCCACCTCTCAGCCTCCAGGTCCCAGAGAGACCACCAGGCACTGAGTAGCTTCAGCCGCAAGACTGGCGCAGAGAAGCCCAGAGCTCGGGACTCTCGTCACGTCATCCTCACAGGAAGCCGAAAGGACACGCCAAAGTTCCTTCTCTGCCACGAACATCCATACCCAGCCCCAAGTCTTAGCAAAGACCACAAGAGGAGACCTGGAACACACAGCCGGGAGCCAAGAGCTCCGAGGGCTGCAGCTGCCTTCCTACACCACATGGCCACAAGTGCCTGTGCCACCCTCAGGCCCAAGGCGCTGGCCCCTTCTCGGCAGCGCTCTGCCCCTGGCTGAGACATCCCTCGGTCTCCACACTGGTGGCAAGAGGCTGTCCTGGCTGTCTGGTCTTTACTTCTCTACAGGTGATGCTAGCACCCCAGGTTCCCACCATCCTCCCTCCCCCAGGCCACCCAGGGACCTCAGGGGGCACCTGCGCTTCTAAGGTACCGCTGGGTCCAGTTCTGTCTACCCCTTCCCCTGGCATCCACTCCTCATCCTCATTTGGCCCACTAGGTTCCCTGCCCACACAGGAAGCCCCCAAAGGCCGAGCCCGGCTGGCAGCGGCTCCTTTCCCTGAGGGCCAGCGCCCCCCACGCTGTACCTGATTGAGCAGGTGCCACGTCTGGTAGTCCTCTTTGGTGCAACGCCGGCTAAAGATAGATCTGTAGTCCACCTTTACCAACTGCCATTCAGAGCGGAGGCTGAAGTGGCCAAAAACTCTGTTTAGGAGAGAATGGGAGAGACAAGCAGAGAGGGGCCCCAGTCAGTCAGTAGGGCACTGAGACTGGGGAGGACAGGAGGGCTCCACATGGCCGGGCTCCTCTGTCCTTTCAGGGAGCTCCTTGGAGGTCGTTGAGGGGGATCCATGGTCCGCACGGCGCTAACCAGCCGGCCTGTCATTTACAGTGTGGGTTTCATTATCGTGGATTTAGTTTTTAATGCACAAGCAACCTGTGTGCTTTACAGGAAGCATCTAAGATACAGACAGTATAGAGAAGTGAACTAGCCACGCTGCCGTCCACAGTCCGGTACCAAGCTGGGACCGCTGCTCATAGACACTCAGCCTTCCTGCTGCTCCCTACTGCAACCACAGGAGCCCTGTCCACTCACGTCCACTGCTGAGACCAGCTGTCCTATCTGTAGCAGGAAGTGTGTGTGTGTATGTGTGTGTGTGTGTGTATGTGAGTGTGTGTGTGTGTGAGAGAGAGAGAAAGAGAGAAAGAGAGA